AAAAAAAAAAAAAAAAAAAAAAAAAAAAAAAGCCCTGTACTCGCCATCAGTAGCAGTGGCTGTGAGGGCTCTGGGGCCTCCTGGCAGAGGCCCCCCACACAGCCTACGCTGCCCGATCACGCCCCACCCCGATGGCCCCCCCACCTGGCCCCAGCAGTCCAGGACTCAAAAAAAACCAAAAAACCCCAAAACCCACACTCACCAGCAGTAGCAGTGGCTGTCAGGGTCACCTGGGCCTCCTGACAGAGTCCCCCCCCACACAGTATGGGGCAGTGGGGACCGGCCCTGACCGCATAGCACCTGCACTGCCACTGCCCCATTGTGCAGGTGTGGCCTAGGTTGGCAGGGCACCACATGGCTCCATGCACTGTCAGGCACCTGGGGCTGCTCAGGCTGAGCAGTTCTAGGCTCCGGGTAACAGCTGCAGAGGCCCCAGCTGCCTGATAGTGTGCAGAGCGATGCGGTGCCCTGCCAACTGGGACCGCACCCACGTGATGGGGCAGTGGCAGTGCAGGTGCCCGGGGCTGGTCCCCAGGGCCAGTCCCTGCTGCTCCCAACACACCCCTATGGCCCCCCCCCATCCCTCCACAGCCACCCACGCATCCCTCGTACTTCTGAGTCGGTGCGATCGGCTGCAGGGGACCCTCCCCCCCATTGCTGACTGGCCACTGGGGGGGTGGGCAAGTGCCCCCTGACTCAGAGGCACCAGTCACCCATGCAGCCAGGAGTTGGCTGGGACCTGCCCCAGACCTTTGTCCCTATGTGCATGGAGTGGGAGAGCTGTGCAGCAGCAGCTGTTTCCCAGCCCTGTGCACATCAGGACCCCTCCCAATGTGTATGGGCCATGAGACAGCTGTCTCATGCACACAGAGCCTGGCCCTGTGCTCCCTGCCAGCCCCTGAGCTAGCACCCAGGGGGAGCCTGGATGCTGCAGGAGGGTAGAAGAAGGTGGGAGCAGCCTTGTACTAGGTTTCTTCCATTGGGAGCAAATCTGCTCCCAAGAGGGGGCAAGTGTAGATGTGTTCCTGGTGGGCTTACTGAGCAGTATTTTTACTATTGAATTAATAGCATGTGTAGACACACCCACTGTGCCCTAAGATAGTACTGTCCCCAGCAGTATTATCTTAGGGAGCAGTTAATTTACTGTGCCCTAATACTGGTACATGTGTAGATGATGATGCCTTTACTGAGGAGCTAACTAGTCAGCTCTGAACTAAAGCACATGTGTAGATGCATCCATTGTTGGGGTTTTTAAGGCCCATTTGTGGGGATTCCAGTTTGAAGAGAGCTCCACAGCTGTGGGTTGCTGGGGTAACAGCCTAAGTGGTTAATTGGGCAGAACCTGCAGGCATCACATGATTGGAAGGCAGCAGGGTTTTGGGGCATATCAGTCCAGGGCTGGAGCCACCAGGGGGACTCTCTGTCTCTCGTGCAGAAAGACTCTAGAAGACTCCCAGATACCTAGGGCTGGGGGCATGTTGCACTAAGGGTGGAAGTTTGTCTCCTTAAAGGGACATAGCATGGTTGTCATTGCTAGTGTTTATGTATGTGTTCAAACAGTAACACAAGCCTAAGCCCAGGAGCTTAGACTTGTGTTACTGTTTGAACCAGAGGACTGGGATGAGGCTATAAGGGGAGTTTTGGAGGCCTCATCAGTGCCTGGAGAAAGGGGCACATTACTTAGGTACAGCCTAGTGACAGGTACTGAGAGAGAGAGGTGTCAGAGAGAAGGCCGTAGCTACAGGGACACACAGAGCCCAGTGCTGGAGAGAGGGGCGCAGCTATAGAGGCCTCAATGAGCCCTGGGGCAGGGATGTAGGGGCACAGGGAGCCCTAGTGCTAGAGTGGCACAGGGATGCAGGGGCTCAGGGAGCCCTAGCACCAGATGGGTGTGGAGACACAGGGGCACAGAGCTCACTGCCAGGGGGGTGCAGAAGTGACAGGAGTATAACACCTGCAAGGCTTAGGACACAGTAAAGGGAAAGTTGTAGTTGTGTATTACATCCTTGTTTTTAGGGCATAAAAGGGGCAGCCTCTTGCCTAGCAACAACTTATTAATTACATCAAAGGTGTGGCAGGGAAAACAGTGGGCAGGCTGCCCTAGACAGGCGGGGGGGGGGGTGTAATAATAGGCGTTGGGGGGGGCCCCCTTGCAAAGGCCTTTTT